CAGGTGGCAGCACTCAGTGCATGCAGGTGCACCTGACAGCAATAACTTCAGGAGAAGAATGCATGTTCCGAGTTCCGAGCTAAGGAATCCAGGAGTGGCCAACCCAGAGATTCATTCCTTATCTATGAGAAACATCTGATCCCCTGGCCCATCCTGTGGAACATGGGCCACACAAGGGACTGAGGCCCTTTGCTTTGAGTTAAATGAGGGTTGCCATGTAGGTGCAGGTGCTAAGAGAAGGTGCTATCTCAACTGCATGCTTTTTACCAGCGATTGGGAGTCTCCTGTACAGCCCACTGCCACCGGTTCACCCTGTAAGTCAGTCGTCTCAATAAACACTGTCTCATTTGCTGGCTCTGGGTCCCTTCTTCAGCCTTTTGAACCTGGTGCCATCCCCACTGAAGTCAATAGGGATCCCGCATGACACTCAGAGGCAGAGTTGGATTCGAAACAGGAGGTCTGAAAGCCTAGGCCTGTCCTGCACTAATTCTTGCTGTGACCCCAAGCTGGCCCACCCGCTGCCTCCAGGTGGGCCTCTCCTGGGTTATTCCAGCGGGAAACCATCCTCAGTGGCCTCTGCTGGCTGATGCCCCACACTCTTCCCTTGGCCTCTAGGAACAAAGGCCTCCTAGCCTCAGGGTTTGTTCTTGAGACCCGAGGCACTAATGTGAGAATATTAGAGACTGCAAAGTACAAACAAGCCACCACATAGTATCCTGGGGATCCTCTCCCTTAGGCCTGGCAGGCCACCCCTTCCTCAAAGAATCTGACCCCTTCCTCCCTAGGAGTCTTGCTCAGGACAGCTAGCACCTCCCCAGCTCCCACTCCTCTAGCATCCACCTAGCCCTTAACAACCACAGGCTGAGAGAGGCGGCATCCTTCTAGGCATTTGCCCTTCCCCCCCAGCCAGACCACAGAGCTCCTGGGGAGTGGGGCTGCCTCCACCAGTCCACTCTGCCCTGGACCTTTCCAGAGAATCATCCTGGAGTCATTTGTTTCTTCTATTAGGTGACCAACCAAACTAAAGACAACTTGCTCCAAAGAAGCAAAGTCCCCATCTTCTCCAATACCCCAAAACTATAGCTCAAGAATTGCAGTTTCATACAATCTAGAAGTACGTTCACTGGGCCTAAACCACTATTGAAGCTTTCACTGTGGGGGGTGGGGGAGAAGAGTCTTTTAAGCAGAGAAAGTCATGTTGTTAGGGTCCTGAAGAACAAGAACTGGCAGTGACCATCTTACTGAAAAGTACAGAGTGACAGCCAAAAGGGCAAATATGAAATATGTTAGTGCCATCTATTGGCAAGAGTAAACAATAACAAAGAAGTGATGCTTTACATAATAGCAATTCAAATAAGAACACCTCAGCATCAACTTTGGGGTTTGCAAAAGGACTTTTACATCCAACTAACTGCCTCTTAGGATGTCGAAAGCCCAAAGATGCAGGCCTTGCATGTGGAAAGCAGAGGGAAACTCCACAACTGTTGGCTGCATTCATGTTTGCTTCAGCATGTGACAAAAAAGAGCCCAAGCCAAGAAGTGACTGGGTCCCAGAGGACAGATTCCAATGCCGAGGAGACTGGAGATTTCCCAGATTCCTGCCCCACCCCACCATGACATCCAATCCATTGGTAGGAGAGTCCTGTGTTTAGACAGGGCAAAGCAGGCATTGCAACGCCCCATGCCCAGAGCCTGTCCATAGATGCCTAGTGATGTGTGAGCATGGAGATGGGATTTAGCACGACCATTTCTCTAGGGGAACCTACCTGGGCAGACAAGGGGGAAGTGAGACACCACCCTGCTGAGCCCACTCTGCTGAGCCTCCAGGTTCAAGCTATGTGCTTCCTTCACATAGGGAAAGCAATGTAGCCGGCAGTACCAAGCAGGCAAGAACTTTAGGTGAAGGAGAACAGGAATTCATAACTTGATTCAATCCTGAGTGGCAAGGATGATGTTTGCCCTGAGATGACAAGATCAAATCCAGGCATCTGTGTCAGGGACATAACCTGTTGCCAGACTTCAGCTAGATTCAGGGACCTACACCCCATAAACCAAGAGCCACGAGGCCTACAGGGGTCAGGCAGATGAGTTAAAAGAAGTCAACAGGGCTAGGTGAAAGGCAACAGGGAGGAGTGGGGACTGCAGCCAACTGGAAAGACAACATTGGCCCCATCTAAAGGGAGCAGCCAGTGCTCAGTCCAGCCAACTGCTGCTATTTGGGAGTATGGCTCCAGTACTCCAGATCTTCTGATGGCTCAAGAGAAACCAAGCTGTTCTCCATATGATATTTCTCAATTCTTAAATATTGTCAATTTAGTCATTAAAAAGGAAAAAAATATAACATGCTAATCACATAAAACAGAGCTGCGAGCCAGATTCAGCCCATATGCCTCTTATTTGCAACCTCCACTAACTCTTCTGTTTTATGCTTTTGTCCTCTTTTCCTTTAACTTCTTTTTAAAACAATATTTGTCTAAGGAAAACCAAGGAGAAAAACAATTTCCCTATGCAAAATCTATGGTACCACCCATCTTGAGAAGTTCAAGAGTTAAATATGAAATTACCAGTGAGGACAGTCTCATATTAGGTATTATATGTTCACTCCCTTCTGCTTATATCTATAATATTTATGAAGTGCTTTCCAATTTGCTGTTCTTATTTGCCTCTGACAACAGGATGGTAGGGCAAGTTTTAATATCCCCGACTGAAAGATGACAAAACTAAAGTTCAGAGAAGTGATGGTGGAAAGTGACACGCTGAGGCCAGGTGTGGTGGCTCACGCCTGTAATCCCAGCGCTTTCAGAGGCTGAGGCAGGAAGATTGCTTGAGGCCAGAAATTCAAGACCAGCCTGGCCAATATGGTGAAACCCCACCTCTACTAAAAATACAAAAATTAGCCAGGCGTGGTGGCAGGTACCTGTAATCCCAGACAGGAGGATTGCTTGAACCTGGGAGGTGGAGGCTGCAGTGAAGCTGAGATCATGCCACTACCCTCCAGCCTGGGCAACAGAGTGAGATTTTGTCTCCAAAAAAAAAAAGTTATTGAGCTGTATACTCGGGTTATGAGTATTTTATGGTTTCTCTCTAGAAATGAAACATTGGGAAGTTACATGAAAAAAAGACTCAAGAACAAGTGATGGCCGGGTGTGGTGGCTCATGCCTGTAATCCAAGCACTTTGGAGGCCAAGGAGGGCAAATCACCTGAGGTTGGGAGTTCAAGACCAGCCTGACCAACATGGTGAAACCTCGTCTTTATTTAAAAAAAAAAAAAAAAGAACAAGTCATGTTTTCCTCCTAAATTTAAACAACTCTATCTTGCTAGCTTAACTTCAAGGTCTTATAAGAAATTTAGTTTATACATCTTAAACACCTACATAAACCCTAAGAATGTGTTATAAAATCAACATGACACTGTAGTCTATAATTATAGTGCTCTAAAATATCTCTTAAATATATTATCTTAAGAGACAGTGTTGCACAACTTCCTTCAAAGATACCTTGCTTGAGCTAATATTTTACTTTCAAGACTTTTTCCCCAACTGGGAGTATGGAAGAAGACTTTGACTCAGATTAAAATACTTATGAGTTTCAAACTCATTCGGTCAAAATCAATAAGCTTTCAAATCAAAGCACCTTTCTTTTTCAAAATATTATATAAAATGAAGACATTGAAAAGGTTATAACATTGGCTCTTTGGGTTTCCATAATAATGCAAGAAAATCTTCCCCAGGAGATCAATGCAGACAATTAATGATCCCTTATCTTATCTATAAATCTTAGTGTGCCAAACAAATACTGTAGCATATAGAATAGCATCTGAGTACTTACTAATATAGAATTTTAGCAAGATAAGTTCTCTAAAGATATAATTACCAACTCAGGAATATTACTTTTAGGCTGTTACATGTCCTTACACCTTTTAAATAACAATCCTCCTTCAGTATGTCAAAATCTGCTAAGGCTGAGCTATTTGGATTAACAGTAATCTCAAATTCTGAGGAGCAAAATCTCAAGGCCACCCACTGAGAATATTTACAAAACAAGAACACGTTATTTCACAATGCAAAACTCTCATTGGTCTCCAGAAGGATCTAATGTATTTTTTAAAAGTTTCACGGAAACAACTAAACAATGACACTTTAATAAAGTATTGCTTATGAGAATTGAAGAACCAACTTCTTGAACATCCACCTAAATTCCAATGTCCTGGGGTAGGATCTTTAAACCATGGGTAAGAGGAGCATAACTCTGCCTAGGAAAGGAATGGGGCAGTATCCTGAAGAGGGACAATAGTGACCTCAAAGAGACTGCTGTCACCTAAAACAGGAATGGCCAGTATCATTTTCAAACCTGGCCGTGCCCTGTGACAACCAAGTGTGGCAGCCACATGTCCACAATCTCTCAAAGCAGCTTCTTTGTTTGTTTGTTTGTTTGTTTGTTTTGAGACAGAGTCTCACTCTGTCACCCAGGCTGGATGGTGCAGTGGCATGATCTCCACTCACTGCAACCTCTGCCTCCTGGGTTCAAGCAATTCTCCTGCCTCAGTGTCCCAAGTAGCTGAGACTACAGGCGCACACCACCACATCCAGCTAATTTTTGTATTTATAGTAGGGACAGGGTTTCAGCATTTTGGCCAGGATGGTCTCAATCTCTTGACCTTATGATCTGCCCGCCTCAGCCTCCCAAAGTACTAGGATTACAGGTGTAAGCCACCACACCTGGCCTCAAAGCAGCTTCTTAATGAAAGATCTCAACTAAAATGCATTTTAAAAGCACACAGTATTTGTTGGGATGATAAGAAAAAAGTTTTCTTTCTTGGCAATACTCAAATAAGTGATATAACTAACAACCTGACTTTTTTTAACCCCCCGGAAAAGCATTTTTGAGCAAAGACAATTTCTAGACAAGCTATACCCATGGTCCATTACCTGCTCTGGAATTCAACAGATTCACCCATACGACCAAACGCCACCAAGTCTTTTATGCAAAGAGAGTCTTACCTGTGAAAAGTTCAACCCATTCAATGGATGGCACTGCTCTTCCACCTTTTCCACTGCCCCAGTCTGTTTCTTCAGCCTCTCAGCCTCCTGGGCAAGGAACAAGTCTAAGACAGGCACCCCACGGGACTTAATGTCCACTTCAGTCAGGGAGTTGACCATGAGCATCACCCAGACAGGCCTCTTGCGCTCCCAGTTTCCGGCAATGGCATTGAAGAGGTAGTCTGCGTAGAGCCCCTTGCCGTGCTGGTCTGGGGTCATCCACAAGGGCATCATGAGCTTGACATACTCCAGGTGGCGCTTGAGGCGACAGTAGATGTCCCTGGGGAGCACGTCTTGGAGGTTCTCACCCTGCGGCAGCATCTGACAGCTGGTGAGAGCTGAGATAGTATAGGGGTCTGTGAGGTCCAACTCAAAGTACACAATGCTGCTCTGCAGGAAAGCCTCCTTAGAGTTGTCGGGGATGAAGTCCCAGACCCGGGTGTACGGGACATGGATCGTGCCAAAGAAGTAAGATGGCGGGTCTCGCTTAATGGTCCACAAAAAAGAATTCAACTCACTTTGCTGAAGGAAAAAAAAAAAAAAAAAAAAAGAGGCAACATAAAGGTATAATATGGGGGGAGGGGTGGTCAGGAACCTGTGAGAGGAAATGAATTAGTCACATTTCAAGAGAAAAGTTATCAGAATAGGATTTAGACTTTTGAGTTCATGTAGATTCACCTGCCAGGACAATCCATGTTCTAAATAGACAGGAGCAAACTATGAAATCAGGGGCTCGTTAGGACTCCAGTTTCAACCTTGGCTGTACGTTGGGATCACCAGGGGAGCTTTAAAAGTAGCATATCTGGGTCTTACCTCCAGAGATTCTGATCTGATTGGTCTGGGGTGAGACCCACCTTTTCAATCAAAAGGGGATAGAACCACCCCCTTTTCAATTAAAATGCTGATTCCAAGATGAGAAAGCAATAGCAGTCACCAGTTTTGAGTTTGTGCCACGCCTGCCCTAGCAACTGGGCAAGAGTTAAAGAAGTGAGTCTCAGGGGCCTGAAGGACATACCTGGTACCAGCTAAGAGACACCTGAGAAGCCCAGTGTCTCAGGGAGACCTCACGGTCCCTGCTTTTTCAGATCTCAAAACCAGCATCCACAGCTCTGGCTACGCACGGGAATCACCCGAAAAGCTTTAGAAACTCCAGTCCCTAGGTCCCACCCCAGACCAATCACATCAGAATCGCTGGAGGTGGGGCTCAGAGATGCTATCTTTTTTTTTTTTTTGAGATGGAGTCTCGTCCTGTGTCCCAGGCTGGGGTGCAGTGGCACAATCTAGGCTCACTTCACTGCAACCCCTGCCTCCCGGGTTCAAGTGATTCTCCTGCCTCAGCCCTCCAAGTAGCTAGGACTACAAGCACCGCCCCTCCACCACATCCAGCTAATTTTTGTATTTTTAGTAGAGACAGGGCTTCAGCGTATTGGCCAGCTGGTCTCAAACTCCTGATCTTGTGATCCACCCGCCTCGGCCTCCCAAAGTGCTGGGATTATAGGCATGAGCCACTGCGTCGGTCACAGAGATGCTACTATTAAAGCTCCCCTGGTGATCCCAACATACAGCCAAGGTTGAAACTAGAGCCCTAACGAGCCCCTGATTTCATAGTTTGCTCCCGTCCCTTTAGGACATGGATCATCCCATCACATTGCTTTCTCTCACAAAGCCTTCAGGTTCAATTGCAGAGATCTGGACGGTCTCTGCTGGATGGATTCTCTCTAAGCAGTTGCACATGCTGAGCAGTGGTGCATGTCCATCTGAGGCCAGGCCATTTCACTCCCAGCCCCTGAGTATCTCTCATCCTCAACTGGCATTTATAATGTATCTGTTTATTAAGAGGCACTGTACAAAGAAGTACACGGGGCAGCTCTCAAGGAATTGGGGTGTAAATGGCAGACATACTAGTGACAAGAACAGTGTATCAAGAAAGCCGGAAATGTGAAAATCCAGGTTTATAGAAAAAAAAAATATTTTGGCCAAGCGTGGTGACTCACGCCTATAATCCCAGTGCTTTGAGAGACTGAGGTGGGCAGATCACTTGAGCTCAGGAGGCCAGCCTGGGCAACACAGCAAAATCCTGCCTCTACAAAAAAAATACCAAAATTAATCGGGCGTGGTGGTGCATGCCTGTAGCCCCAGCTACTCAGGAGGCTGAGGTGGGAGGACTGCTTGAGTCCAGGAGATTGCACCACTGTGCTTTGGCCTGAGCCAGAGCAAGACCTTGTCTCAGAAAAAGAAAGAGAGACAGAGAGACAGAGAGAGAGAAGGCAGGGAGGGAGGGAGGGAGAAAGGGAGAAAGAAATATTTGGAACATACTCCCTTTACCAAAGGGTTTGACTTCAGTCTTTTAAGTAACATGCTTCCCTGGATTATGAAGTTTCAATCTACCATCGATTCTTATTATTCATGGTAGTTATATTTTGTAAAGTTGCCACAAACACAAGACGAGCAAATATTAAACTGTCGTTCCTAGCGGAAACAGGGTTAAGTTCCTAGCGGAAACGTAGGGTTAAGTGAGCCTCTGCTTGTAACGTTTTCATCAACTGATCAATACATAGCCTTGTTTTATGTGTGCTTCTATTGAAAGGCACCTTATTAGCCAAGCACGGTGGCTCACGCCTGTAATTCCACCACTTTAGAAGGTGGGGGGTGGGGGCAGTTCACCTGAGGTCAGGAGTTCGAGACCAGCCTGGCTAACATGACAAAACCTCTTCTCTACTAAAAACACAAAAATTATCTGAGTATGGTGGTAGACATCTGCAATCCCAGCTACTCAAGGAGGCTGAGGTAGGAGAATCACTTGAACCCAGGAGGCAGAGGTTGCAGTGAGCCAAGTTGGCGCCACTGCACTCCAGTCCAGCAACAAGAGTGAGACTCCATCAAGAAAGAAAGAAAGAGAGAGCCGGGCGCGGTGGCTGAAGCCTGTAATCCCAGCACTTTGGGAGGCCGAGGCGGGTGGATCACGAGGTCAAGAGATCGAGACCATCCTGGTCAACACGGTGAGACCCCGTCTCTACTAAAAATACAAAACATTAGCTGGGCATGGTGGTGCGTGCCTATAATCCCAGCTACTCAGGAGGCTGAGGCAGGAGAATTGCCTGAACCCAGGAGGCGGAGGTTGCGGTGAGCCGAGATTGCGCCATTGCACTCCAGCCTGGGTAACATGAGTGAAACTCCATCTCAAAAAAAAAAAAAAAAGAGAGAGAAAGAGAGAGAGAGAGAGAAGAGAACAGCACCTTATTTAATATATAATGTTCATTCATTAACACCGAACTCACAGCTGAAAGCACTATAACTCATGCCTGAACTGAACTTATTTAACACATGTATTTTCTTTGTAAAGCACATCACAGGCTTCTTGCACTTAAGCACTATAGGCAACTTCAGCACTACACTGGGGGCCATTTTAAACAGTAAAATCATCTACCAAAAGCTTACCTCTGTTACCCTGGCACTTTAGGAGGCCAAGGCAGAAGGATCATCTGAGCCCGGGAGTTCAAGAGCAGCCTAGGCAACATAGTGCCTCTATTAGCAAACAAAATTAATTTTTAAGTATAAAATCTTAAATTAAAAAAATAGATAAAATCTTTCCATTTGTAAATGTTGCCTCAATTTTCATAAGTGTAAATAGAATACATCTCACTAGCCCCAAACCTGTGACTGGTTTTGTTTTTTTGTGTGTGTGTTTTGAGATAGAGTCTTACTCTGTCCTCGCCCGGCTGGAGTGTAGTGGCATGATTTCAGCTCACTGCAACCTCTATACTGGGTTCAAGTGATTCTTCTGCGTCAGTCTTCCAAGCAGCTGACATACAGGCATGCACCACCACACCCTGCTAATTTTTGTATTTTTATAGAGACGGGGTTTCACTATGTTGCTGAGGCTGGTATTGAACTCCTGACCTCAAGTAATCTGCCCGAAGCCTCTCCAACTGCTGGCATTACAGATGTGACTCACTGCATCTGGCCTGATCTTGTTTTTTAAAGCATTTAAGTTGCAGTTACACAACCTTCTTTTCCTTTTTTCTTTTTTCTTTTGAGACAGAGTTTCACTCTTATTGCCCAGGCTTGGAGTGCAATGGTGCAATCTCAGGTCACTGCAACCTCTACCACCTGGGTTCAAGCAATTCTCCTGCCTCAGCCTACCAAGTAGCTGGGGTTATAGGTGCCCGCCACAACGCCCAACTAATTTTTTGTATTTTTAGTAGAGATGGGGTTTCATCATGTTGGCCAGGCTGGCCTCGAACTCTCGACCCCAGGTGATCCGCCAGCCTCGGCCTCCCAAAATGCTGGGATTACAGGCGTGAGCCACCACACCTGGTCATACACTCCTTTTCAATAATTCAATAAATAGGGCAAAATAAACCTAAAATCTGCTTGTGGCCCAGCTACCCCACTGAGATTTTTAATTTTTTTTTTTTTTGAGACTGAATTTTGCTCTTGTCACCCAGGCTGGAGTGCAATGCTGCGATTTCGGCTCACTGCAACCTCCACCTCCCGGGTTCAAGTGATTCTCCTGCCTAAACCTCCAGAGTAGCTGGGATTACAGGTGCCCACCACCAAGCCAAGCTAATTACTGTATTTTTAGTAGAGACAGGGTTTCACCATGTTGGCCAGGCTGGTCTCAACTCCTGACCTCAAGTGATCCACCCACCTCAGCCTCCCAAAGTGCTGGGATTACAGGTGTGAGCCACCACACCCAGCCCCCCACTGAGTTTTTTTAAAAGCCACTTCAGTCTCCCAAGTAGCTGGGATTACAGGCGCATGCTACCATGCCCAGCTAATTTTTTTGTATTTTTAATAGAGACGGGGTTTCACGATGTTGGCCAGGCTGGTCTTGAACTGCTGACCTCAGGTGATCCACCCACTGTAGCCTCTCAAAGTGCTGGAATTACAGGCGTGAGCCACAGCACCTAGCCAGTTTCCGAATTTGTAAAAGTTAAATTAATAAGCCCTGTCAGAAAGTTATGGTAATACACAAATTAGACAAGTAATTGTTAAATAAAAGAACAAATAAAAAATATATTTTTGAAAAGCAATTTTAGGCCAGGTGCAATGGCTGACGCCTGTAAACACTTTCAATGGCCAAGGTGGGTGATCACTTGAGGCCAGGAGTTCGAGACCAGCCTGTCCAACATGGTGAAACCCCAACTATACTAAAAATACAAAAATTAGCCGGGTGTGGTGGTGCACACCTGTAGTCCCAGCTGCTTTACTCGGGAGGCTGAGGCAGGAGGATCACTTGAACCCAGAGGCAGAGGTTATAGTGAGCCGAGATCACGCCACTACACTCCAGCCTGAGCAACAGAGCAAGACATTGTTTCAAAAAAAGAAAAAAAAAATTTTTTTAACTATTGATTGTTGAAGTAATTTTAAGAGATGAATCTCGTACAGGGTCCCCATCCCCTAGGCATCCTCTTATGCAGTAATGAGGGTCCCTGGGGCTATTTAAATACTTCAAAAATGAAATGGAAACTGTACATCTACCAAGAAAGTCTGCTCAGGCAAATTAAGCAATCAAATGT